GGGACACATCATTCATATTGGTCAGTGATGCCCACATTCAGATTTCTGTAGTTGCATTTTCCTTCTGCTGTGAAGTATTGCTCAGAGAAGACAATAAGTCATTTCCCTTTCCAGTCTATATTCTGATTTCAGGGTTTATAAATATACATGAGATTTTTTTCATGCCTGTTCAGTATCGTGTGTATATTTGTGTTGGCTTCTTCTGTGTAAATTTAGCTTTGCAGAGTTTTACCAGCTTCAGAAAAGTATATACACACATATGTATGGATTGTACATGTATATGTTCTTATGCATGCATATGTATGTATATGTATGTAAAGATACATAAATGTATCTTTACATGTATCTTTGGGTTCCTTTCATCACTGTATGGGTATGAATTAAATTTGGCAAGTAAATTTATGTAATGATGTGAGGCTGTAACCTCTGCTTTAGCTTTGATTTTCTGGAACTGCACATATGTTTCAGCAGAGAGTTTATTTGATGTCATTCTTGTGTCTAGTCTGATGTTATGGTGGTGTTTCTTTTGTTAGTGTTTTTGCACTTCACTGTTGGAGTTGAAATGTTGGTAGAAAGAAGTAGATATTAATATGTGGAATCCACATCTCCTTTCTTCTGTCAGCTTTGACAGTGGACAACTAATCAACAGAGTTTATAAGGCAGATTATCTTTTGTGCACAGATTTTGGATTCATGTTTGAAAGCTCACCTGGTGGAAATCTGGGCTGGGAGCCTGACATTAAGCTGACTGATGAGATGGTGATGATAATGGGAGGAAAAATGGAAGCAACTCCATTCAAATGGTTTATGGAGATGTGTGTCAGAGGCTATCTGGCAGTCAGGTAAGGTGTTACTAGCTTCTCAAAAGTGGAAATTCTTCCATGTCTAAAACCAGATGAGAAGACAAATAATAATATACAATTGCATGTAGGGGGTCTGAGTCTGTCAGTCTGTCCTGGTACATCTTGAAAACTTTGAAACAACTTAATAATCCTGCAATTTTACAGCCTAAATTTGTGCGGTTTTTCATGTTGTTAAGAAGAAAAAGAACTATTCTGGCTGAAACCAGGACATCTGTTCTTGTGTTATATTTAAAAATTGTATACATTCTATTCAATGTATAAATGTGATATTAACACACATTTCCATACATCATTTAGTATGCTGTTAAACCTTTGCAATAAGAAACTACAGGAGAATGAAAATGTTTCTTGTTTTCCCAAATAGGACAATCACATTTATCACCATTTCAGCTAGAGTTAATTATGCAGGAGATGCGAAAAAGTGCTACAATCGCCTGTCGTAAAATATGTGGGGGGTTTGGTAGCGTCACTCTTCAGCTGTGATTGCCAGCCACTCACAGTAAAGATTTGCAGCTTTACCTTGCTCTCTACCAAGCCAATAAGGCTTGCTTTAATATGCAGGAGCACTAATAAATCTATCTGAATAGGATGTTGTACGTGGGTGGGAGGAGGAGCATACAAGAGTCTATATAAAAGCTCATTCTATCACAACTATAAAGTATTATTGATGTTATCTTACAGAATCAAAGTTTCTTCAGCTAGTAGTCCCAGAAGGGGCTGTCTTGAAGTCAAGATCAATTTGGTTCCTTGAGGGGGAGCAGTCTGGAGAAAGTTTTGTGTTGAGAAAAAAAAATGTCATCCAAGTATCAGAGTAATAGCTTGGTAGGTAATAAGTGTTCTGAGAGGAAGGAGAAGGGAAGCTGGGCTGATGTAGCAAAGAATTACGTAGAGTAATTAGGAATTACAAGATAAGCTGTTACTGTGGTATTGCTGGTTTCAGCCTTTTGTACTGTTTTGATGCACTGATTCACCTGTCTGATGCTGAAGAAATGTTTAATCAAGCACTGTATTGTATAATCCTCCTTGAGACTGTTTATCTTGCAGCATTCTGAATATCTGGTAGTCCAACATTAAGGAGGGAAATTTAATTAAACTGGCAGATTACAAGCAGTGGTATAACTCTACCAGCAAATGAAAGAGGATTGTATGTGTTGATTTAATTACAGAAAAAGGTGTGATCCAGCTCGTTGAACCCCTCAGCTTGCCTGCTTTACCTACTAAAACTGCAGGAGTTTGAGTGCTGCGGCCTTTTTGTCCTCTTTTTCTCTAGGCCTTACATGGATGCTGTTGTCTCACTGGTTACACTGATGTTGGATACAGGGCTGCCCTGTTTTCGAGGGCAAACAATCAAGCTGTTGAAGTAAGTCAGCATATGTATGAACTGGAAAGTAGTCATATGTTCTTCACAGAATGTATACTGCCACAACTTGTGCAGTGAGTATAGGTATCATGCTACTCAAATCTTAGATGTCTTAATGTTGTAAAAGATGTTTAACTTTCGATTATGGAATATCTCAGAAAGTAGGAATTCCAGAGGCCTTTTTGTAGAATTAAGTTCAAGCTGTTCATTTACTGTGCAAGTACATGATTATCTCTAAGTCTGTAGGGCTAGCAAAATAAGACCATAAAGGAAAGATCTGCTTTAATTGAGAGGTAATGTGTTGCAGGGTCTGATGTCCTCTGAAATGGTGCTGGACTCTGAAGAACAGCATCTTAAAATTTGTTCTACAGATAATGCAGTAATGAATGGAAATATGTTGTAACACCCAACAACTTGGACAAATTCTGATGTGATACTCTAAACCCTTCAGGCTTATGCCTCCAGGATTAGCTCCAGACTGAGCAGAATTAGTTGAGCATTTCCTGTATGTAATTTCCTACAGTTTCCTAAAGATAAGTGCAGATGTATAAAGTATGATGGGCAGGAGCTGGAGGACACTGTTAGTTGCAAAGATGTAAAAAACAGCGGCTGCCTAGAAAGAGGGATCTGCTGTTCCTGGAGTTACCACTAGACTGATGATCACAGCCTCTGTCTCCCCTGTAAGACTAAAGGCAGCAAGTGCTTATTAAAACATTATGTAATTTGAGCGAGGTACTCTCACAAGAAAGTAGGTACTTGCAGCAAGTGAAATCCACACCTGGCTGAGCATGTGCAAAACCGAATTTGTATCATGCCCAAAGAAAGCTCACTAATTTTTACTCTTGCTTCTTGTGGTTTTCTGCATCCAGACATAGGTTCAGCCCCAACATGACTGAACGGGAGGCTGCAACCTTCATCATCAAGATCATCCAGAATTGTTTCCTCAGCAACAGGTTTGGCATCTGTGCATGTATTCTCCCTATGGCTAAAGGAAGGTTATCGAGCTTTGAGCAGAGCTAATAAGTAGAGTTTTATCAGTCAGATACCAAACATTTTGAGTTGTTGGTATTTTTGATTATGCAGGATAGCAGCTTTGCTGCTGAACATGGTTCATCTCTTCTCTTTTACACTGGTGAGGAGGGCTTAAGCCCAGGCTCTTCGAATAGCAAGGCTGGCTAGTCTAAGGAATGGAAGATTTTCTGTCAGGGTGAATCTTTGAACCCAAAGTTAAGCATTTTGGTTCCTTTGGCCAACTGTACTGTTAGGGTTAGATGTCTACTTGTGATACCTCCTTTTATATAGGGTAGGGTCACCTCTACAAATAAAGGGATAAATAGTAAAGAATGGCAACAGGAGTCGCATGCTTTCTGGTCCAGATTAATAGAGTTTGATCCTGAAGGTTGTTCCTTATTATTTTGTAAGGAGAAGGTTTCTTAAAAAACATGATCTGTTGGTTTGAGTAAGAATGAAGCAGAAACAGAACCACAGTGACTTTCCAAGGTCTTTCTCAAAATTGCTTGTAGGCATTAAGTTGCCTGAACATCCTCCTGAAATTCTGAGCTGTTATTCTGTGCAAAACTCTTCTCTAGAAATGAATTCTAATCTTTCTACTATTCTTGCTTCGTTGCTTGATACTACATTAACATATTAATCATTTTGTAGACCCTATGTTACGTATGTAATACTGGCTAGGGAAAATACCTCAGGTAGGGAACATAGGCAGTGTGGGTTCTGAATGTCTTTGTGGCTGGGCCATGTTTATTTGTCATCTACTACTAATTATACTATCAGGTATTTAGCAGTTTAAAAACCAACTTAATCACCAGCTAGCCCATCAACTGTAGGGTTTTTTCCCTTCAAATAAACAAATAGTTTGGTATCTTGTGCAAAGCTTTTCAAAGGAAATTACATGTGAAATGTAATTTTATTACATTTAATACTTTAAATGCAATAAATTTAAAACTTAAATATCTTAAGTGCATGTTTTATTATTATTATCCCAGAGAATACAGACTTTGTGGGATATATTGGAGAGTCTAATACAAACTCTTACCTAGTTCCATTTGGGTCAGTTTGAGACCAGAAGGGCTCAAGTCCTGAGATACAGCCCTGCTAAAACTGAATTGGATTTTCTAGTGCCTGCTGGTGCATCTGCTCAGAATCTTAGATCAATATTAGAGGTTACAAAGGCAGCACGCTGCAGTGTGCAGTGTGAATGCCCAGAGCCACCTTAGTTCTGATAAGCTGGAGCTTCTCTACCTGTAGCATGGTTATTGTGACCTGAATAAGCTCTTCCCATGGATAATTGAGTTATCTATAACAAGGCTTAGATTTGTTTGTTCAGTCACTCATCAAAGATGCTGCTATTAATGCTGTTATTTCCCCTGCACTTTTCATTATTGGCATTCTCCTTAATTAAGATTCCTTTTATTTCCACATAATCCTGTCTCCATGCAGGCCTGATGATCTTATTTCATTTAATATGCATTTCCTTCTGCTAAAACAAACCACCAATGCAATGTGAGGTGCCTCTGGCTTATCCAAACACAGGATCCAAGCTGCTGTTGCCACACTGAGAATACTTTTTTTACCTAGTTTAAACAAGAGCAGGATGTTTTGTGCTGTTCATAACAGTAACTGGGCTTCACAATGCCTTCAAAGCACAGAGGGCTAGTTTTGATTAGCAGCTAATTTCCTTCACCCATGCTTTGTTTCTGTGGGATTTTGATGTTTGTTTCGGTGACAATGGGTGCATTGGTTTTCTAAGCTTTCACTTACCTCTGGCTTTGCTTTTCTTCTCTAGGAGCAGGACATACGACATGATCCAGTACTACCAGAATGACATCCCGTACTGAGAGACACTAGAGATTCACTGCCGAACTGAAACGTGCAACCCTGTGCCCTCACTCCAAACCTGTAATAAATAGGAGATGCTCAGTCACACTTCGCTATCTTCCATCTGTTGTGTATGTGTGTGTACAAGTGGGTACATGTTTCCTGGACATTGCAACAATCACTCTGATTCATTCCTTTCTCTTTACCAGGTTCTATATATTTCTGGTTTTCCTTGGGTTTTTGGAGTTGGGCTGCAATCACGGTAAAACTTGTACTATGATTATGAATGTGTGAAAGAGGTAAAGCTTGTGGAGGCCGATGAGTTTTCATGCAATGCAAGGATTTTCTAATACCTTTAAATAGTAAAAAATACCCTTTCCTGCACAATCCCACAAAATGCCATGGATGGGAAGGGTATGGATTTCTCTTTGGAAGCAGAAATGTTAAATTTTCCTAATTTTACTGTAGAAAAGCCTGATAATCATCCAAGTGGTGATATCTGTGTAGCTGTGTTCATACTTTGCACTGTACATGGTCCCTGCTACGTGGTCAGTATTTCATATGTACATGAAGAATGTATTTTTTCCTTTTGTGTGTTTTAAAAAAAGAGACTCTACTGAAGATATATTTAATCTATAAAATGTAATAAAAGACCTTTAGACTTTGTGTCTGTTGCACATCCTTTGCCATGCGCTGAGTTTTAGTTTACATCGTCCTGCACGGTTGTGTACTGGTCATTATATTGTGACCTTTCTTCCGAATAGAGAAATGGGGATTCTTCTTCAGCTGCTTCACACAGAATGGTTTGGGGTGGAAGGTTGCATCCAACCTGGCCTTGAGCTCTGCCGGGGATGGGGCAGCCACAGCTTCTCTGGGCACCCTGTGCCAGCGCCTCAGCACCCACATGGATTAAATAGTAGAAAGAAATTACTCCCTAAATCTACCCTTTTTCGTTTAAAGCTATTCCCCCTTGTCCTATCGCTACATGCCCTTGTAACAAGCCTCTCTTCACCTTTCTTATAGACCTCCTTTAGCTGTTGGAAGGCTACAATCCTGTCTACCACTACTGCCCATCTTAAACGACATTTTTCATTAATGACATTAATGTTTCATGCAAGATTCCATGCTGGGGCTCTCTCGGAAGCTCAGCTCAGGCACCCTCATCTTCAGGGGCCATTTTCCCCCCGAACCCGGCCCCGGCCGGCCCCTCCGCGGCTGCGGCTGAGGTGACTGCTGCCAGCACCTGAGCGCCCCCGCCTGCAGGGGGCGCTGAGCCGAGGGAGCGCGCGCCCTGGGCGGGCTCAGCGCTGAGGGGAATCCGGCAGCTGAGGCGAGGCGAGGCGAGCCCAGCCCTGAGGGGCCGAAGCGTCGGGAGGGAGACCCGGCCCTGGGGCGGGCCCGTGCCGCCGTGAGGTGAGTTCAGCCCTGAGGGGATGGGGAGCGTTGTGAGGAGCGGATTGTTGTCCTTCACAAGAGGGCAGCCTCCTCCGGGAGGCCGCCGTGGCCCTGAGGGGAGGGGCCCTGGGCTGGAGGTGTTTGGGCGGACCCCTGGGGTTACCCGGGAGCTGGTCTGCGGTAGCAGGTCACCCTTGCAGGGAACAGGGTGCGGGCATGAGTGGGCACCTGCTGTGCAGGGTTGATGACGTGGCTGCACCCACGTCTTCCTCTCGGTAGTCTGAGTACGTGTGAGACATCACCTAAATCAGGGTGGGTTTCTGCTTTAATGAGGGAACTCCCAGCATGTCCCCTTGGCTCGGGCCAGCTGAGGCTGCTTAGGGGCAGCCAGCCCAAAGCCAGGCCATCTGAAGGGGTGCCCTCTGGAGAAGGCATCAAAGGCAGCGTGAGGGCGGTGTGCTGCTGTGCTCACAGCTCTGGGAGGCAGGGGCGGGAGAGGGGCTATGAAGGCAGCACATTTTGCCTCTGCCTGTGAGGTGGGTCTTTGCGTGTGGTGAAGGTGTTCTCAGTATGGAAGCCCTGGAGTCAGCCTGTTGAATTAAATGGCTTGGGCTTCTGTAGTGGGTGTTAAAGTGGGTCTTGTGCGGGTCTTGTGCAGCTCTCTGTTGGCTGTGTGATGGGTGGCTCACAGCAAGGTGGGCCCTGAGCCCCTATCTTTGTTAGCAAAGTGAGGAGGTGCTGCTGGCTTTCTAAAAACGATTGGAGGTTCACCGGGGACAAGTCGTGTACAAGAACTGCTTTATTTATTGATTTAGTTCAGCTGTATTATACAAGCAGCTGGGGCATGGAGTAAGTTTTGTACTCTCTGCCTGCAGTTAGCTGTACCTATTTGGGATCTGTAGGAAAAGGAACTGATTGACACTACAAATGGAGTATGCTTCCTCACGCCTTTCCGGTAACAGGGAGCAGGTGGAGTGATGAGATGAGAAGCTTTCTTCTTTTCTCTTGGGAGGTGGTGAGGAGTTCTAATGTTTTGCAAATTCAAGTTAATGCTTGTGTGTATGTATTTTCCTTTTCTGCATCTCAAAATAAATGTACTGTGTAAAATGAAAGCCCAAATGAATGTCTCGAGCAGCGTTATGATGAGAAGATCAATTAAGAGCTAGCATAAATGGAGATGGCATCAGAGGTTATTCTTCTGAATGGGTATGGAATAAACGAACATGATTAGGTGTAAACTTCTCAATAAATGCCTGTAGTAGTATTGTTAGAAATATCTGAGATTAGAAGTGGTTGTCAGCTGGCAAATAACTGTATTAGGAATAATAAACAACTCTGCTAATGCTGGATTTCAAAAGGTTACTCCCAGTTGCAAATTTCAACCCACATAGCAGTTGTTGTGTGTTCTAACATAAGATGCATAGAACCTGCTAGACTGCAGTTAAAGTCAGAGTTTGGTATTGGGAAGTCAATGAGTTTGAGTGTTCTTCACAGTGCTCCCTTATTTTCTGTATTTGAGTTAGGCTGGCTAGAGAGCTGACATGGTCTTATTTTCTTCTGTTAGGTTTGTTCAGAGAAATGAAATGAAAGCAGCTGGAGCCAGTTGCGTGTAGAGGTCAATTGGAGATACTACAAGAACAAGCTCCTTTGCAGTTATCTTCTTAAAAACTATCAGATTATTGCATTTGATGTATCTCAGTTGTATAATTTCTTCTGCTGTAAAGCTTGTAGAAACTTCATGAACATGTTAAAACTTCATGTTAGTAGGAGTGACAAGCACTTGTGACTTCTTTTCTTGTTGTGGTTTCTGGTGACGGTGTGTGCCAAAGCTCACCTGCTGCAATCTGCAGATTTCATTTTCACAGGTTGATATGCCTGCTTCCCCTCCTCTCAGGCTTCCTGCCCACAGCATAGAGGTGGGGGAAAACTCCCCTATGCTTGAGCATCTGTTGAGATACAGAGAGAATTAGACAGTTTGCATTTAATCATGCAAGGCATCCTAAAGATGATTCTTCCTAAATGGGATCTGTTCTGTAGTTTCTTCCAGATATACTGAGGAGGCAAGAATACCAAGACACTCTAGAATACTGCAACCACTTCAGAGGGACTGAATCAATGCAGTTGGAGACAGCATAGACTTACTTCACCTTCATCCTCCCATCAGAGAAGGATGCGTCCTTTATGCCAGGAGGCCGACAGAACTTTCAGAAATTGCTCAGGTAATTAATAACGTAGAGAATTAAGACCTCCATGAAGGTATTCTGAAGGTTTTTGTTCCTGAACCTTATGCTGGAGTATGTCCTGATGCCTCCACAGCCCTGGGAGAAGAGGCATCAAAAGGAGGAGGGAGAGGGGGAATGCTCTTTCTTAGATGAAATTCTTTTTATAAAAGATGCTCCTATGGCTTCTTCACTCTCAGAAATTTCAGGTCATGGTGAGAGACAGACTTCCCTGGCTATACCCACTGTGGTTCTTGCTGTGTTGGCTATGCATATAAAGAGCCCTTAAGAAAGGAGCAAAATTTATAGTGATTCATTTGCATCTGATGGACCCGGGGTTCAGTACTACTGGTAACTTGATCAGCACTATTCAAATGCTAATCTCATTATGTGTGTTGGAGACTGAAGCTCAGCAATCCACCTCCATTAGCACGACGTGCCTGTGTGATGTTCTGGCTGGTCCTGGTACCCCCTGCAGACATCCAGCAAATGCTGCATAGCATCAGGGTTGGTACTGACAGGGAATGGGAATTTGGTAAAGAAGCCATGGAGCTAAGCAAACATGGGAAGAGTAGCTAGAGTCCTCTTTGGAAAATGCTGGAGAGGGCAAAAGGGATTGTAGCCAAGAGAACAGTTTAGATTAGACTTTTTTTTTTTTCACCATAGGTATGTCCATCCTTTCCCCTTTCTTCCACAATGAACGCTGTGAGAAAAAGAGCAGTAAAGGAATTTGTCCTGAACATAGATACAGCTTAAGAGCATGATTAATAATTCTTTGACTTTATGAAAAGTACTGCACCTATGCTGCTTGGTGTTGAGACATCATGGCATTTTTGCTTGTCCCATATATAACAAGGACTAGAATCTGCTGGGCAACACATGGCTCAGTACTTACTAGATAGGCTGCTTCACTGGCAAAAGTAGATGTGCTATGATAACTTGCAGTCCTGGCATCAGCTGGCTTATTAAATAATAGCACAACCTCCCCAATACAACTGTTCTGATGGGCAATTGCAACTTCAGCAGCCCTGTTACTAAAGCTTTGCAGTTCGAGGCAATGCCTTTGTGTTTATTTCTGGTACGGTATCAGTTGTCCAAAGGCAGTGGTAGTGTTGCTCTGAGTTTTATTACTCTTAATATGTCCTTCTCCAGGGTCAGCATGGCCATAGTTAGAGCCTCATTGCTTACTGTAGCAGCAAGAAACTGCACACGTGCTTATGTTCAGGTTTAGGAATGCTATGCGTGGCTTTGCTCCCTGCCCGGGGAGAGCAGAACAGAGAGGATGACACAGTGACACAGTTAATCACGTAGGCAGACAATGCTAGCAGTTAACTGAAGGGAACCTGAAGTTACCTACTTTACTGCATTCAGGTATTTCTTCCCAAGGGGTGCATGGCAGCCAGAAGAAGGGAATTGGGAGTGCTTGTTGGGAGTGTGGATGCAAGTCCCATATGAAGACTATGTTAC